CAGGGTAATTCTAATCAGTAGGTCATTAAATTACTGTGTCTTTCTAGTGGACCGGAAGGCTCAAGAAACAACTGTACAATTAGGATCAATGTATTCGTACTAGGTAATGTAGACGTCTCCATCAGCAGTAAAAATAGAAATTCATTTCCAGAGAAGCCTGTTTTCCATTCTTATCTTTGTCATAGTTATTCTTCTTTCTTTAAATCCTACACTTAAATATAAGATCAAACACAGTGTTCACGTTTTCTTCTCGTTTCCTAACTGTTTTCCTGTTTGACAGCATTTGCGTAAAAAGTCCTTTTCAAGTAGTAAATTAATTTGGGTAGAAGGCATCCCACCTGAATTCATTACATGCTGGCAGTTTAGATAAATGGATATTATGATCTCAGCATATTTTGGCCCAGCACCACTGTGCCCATTTGCAAATGTCTAAGAAAGTGATAATATTCCTGTCAGTTTCAGGCTGCTAAAGAAAAAAAATGGGGTAGAATTTCTTATTTATATTTATAGGATGCCTGTGAGGAAGACAGTAATGCTGTATATGGCAGTTTGTGTGCACATGTGGTGCTAAACATACATTAAAAAAAGATAACAGACCTATTGACGTTTCTTTGTAGAAATATGGAAGAAAAGCCAGAGTAGATCAGTAATTGACAGCTATGCAGGAGATGCATTTCCAGATTTCTTTCTGAAGAAATATTTCACAAACTTACAATTCCTTTCAAAGTCGGTAATCCATCTTTAATTATTTTGTTGATTTCATAGTTGTATTTTACAAGGTTGATGTAATGTCTGCTTCCTGCCAACATTTGATATGGACAATCCACTTTGTCGCTGCTTTGATGAAATGGAAGGCTGCTTGTAGTTGCAGTACTTTTTTTTTTTTTTTCCCTTTTTCTTTTTTTCTTTTTTTTGGCGTATGTGTGTCAGCTGAGCACGGGTGAAGACTTATCAGTCACTGAATGCCATAGCTTAACAGCAAGATATGTGGGGAGCTGTCAATTTATACCACTGACAGAATGGGAAACACATTCAATGTGGTCAAATGGATGGGCGTTGAAACGTACCTGGTTCTGTGCAGCTATTTCTTTTATTCCTGCCTTTGAGTATGCTTTTATTACCACATACACACTTCTGAGCGTTATTTTACTAGCATGCGTACGTTTAAAGTGACATTGGTTTTACAAGCTGTAATTTGGACTGTTAAAGTACATGATTTCTCTCCTTAGGGTAGGTTAACACCTCTCCGTACACAAAAACTGAGGCGTGGTCTGTCGCAGCGCGTATCCCCGGGACGGAGCGGGGTGCTGACACCGGGCCTCCCGCCTGCGGCGTCCGCAGAGCCCGGCGCGCGGGGGCTTCTCCTCCTCCCCCCGTAAAGCGGGCGGCAGCGAAGCGCGCGCGCTTTCGACTGTCTGACGTCGGTCCCTCTAAGCTAAAGTTGTCTTGGACTAGAAGAGCATCTCTGTGGCACGACTGCCTCCAAGCAAATGTGCAGCCCCCGCTGGGGTTGCTTACATTTAGTTATACATGTATGTATGACTGAGTACCTTCTTGAATCCATTCCTAGCGGTACACGTTGTTTTCAGACAGGTTTCTGCAAGTTTGCAGCGAGGACTGGGAGATAGTAGTGTTTAATTTGTTACTTTTTCTTCGTGGAGGCTGGGCAGTGGGGGGATGTTCCTGGCTTCACTGTTGCAGAGTAGATAAAGAGATTTTGAATATTTTTTTCCCCTGGTAAATGCAGCATACTTGTATGTGAAAATTGATATTTAGGCCAATTGCCACGGAGGAGTTTAAGTTACTGTGCAAAACAGTATTTATTAATAACATCTGCATATTGAACTAAAGTGTGATGCAATTAAAATTCCCTGGATTGAGGATTAGCCTGATCTCTGAGGGGAAGAAAATTCTAAGAGCGTGCACCCGTGCACGCCCATGCACACACAAGTGGCAAGAGCTTTCTGTCCTTAGAAGGGCCTTCTCTTAAAACCTTTTTCTTTTCCAAAGAGGCAAATCGGTGGACTAGAGAAGTAGCAACAAAGTATTTCTGCAATGTGTGCTGAAGCAAGTGGGTATAAAGGCTTTGTAAACTCTTTGCAAGGTATATAAAATCAATCTGCCCACTCTATTCTGTTACACAGAAGTATTTCAGTGAATGCACTGGCCAACAAAGTATACTAGAAATGCCAAATACATTTAGAAATAATGTACTGCTGCTCTTAGAGTCCTTGATATTTGGAATTTAGGTTGCACAACATGGAATGCTATTGGTGGCATTTGGCTGTTCCAGTGGAGGATCCTAGTTTCTTAGTGTTTAAAAAAAAAAAAATCCTTTTTCTTTTCTGGTGTTTACAATCTAAGTGTTGATTCAGTTTGGGTTATATTTCTTTCATCGTGAAGTATGTATAAACATTTTAAATAGGTGTGGCACACTGTCAAGTGTTTTCATTATTTGGATGGTAGGTTTGAACATCTATTCCAAAGTATCAGGAGGCACCTGCAGAAGCAAAGTGGGTATGTAGCACCTGGACACCTTCTGATTCATGCAATTAAAGCAGTTTACAGAGTGAGGAAGAAAAGAATATCACATACTGAGGTTTGATGTCTTTTTCATGGAGAACAAAAGAGGTTTGATTCTTTCACTTCGAGTTTAGCCTAACTATTGTGTAGTGGAGTAGGTTTAATGAATCATTGTTTAACTTTGATACTGCCAAGTATTTGACCATTAAATAGTCTGAAATGTGTACATAGCACTTTGGTGACAGACCCTTATTTAACTGTGATTAATTGGCATTGAATAGTTATTTAATTACTTCGGAAGAAATCTAACAACAGTGTGTGTTCTGATTAAGTTATTTGATGTAAAAACAAACATAGAGCTGTTGAAGAGAGCACGTTCCCTTTTGCAGTCTTGCTGCTGACGCCGCACACCACGTGGAAGCCTGAGAATGATTAAAACAGCAGATACTATTCACAAATTTGGATGCTGTTGTAACATTGGCATACTTAGTTCTTGATTTCTTAAAAGACTTTTTTGTTAGGGGTTTCATGAAATTTCCTGTGCCTTACAAGTTTTAGATTTAGTATTTTCTTTTTGCTTTTGAAGCTGAGACTGAAACTCACCGGGATAAGTAAAGGGTGCAAGTATTAAGTGAGCTTGAAAATTTTTGTAAATTGAAAATACTGGACTAGATCTAAGAATTGTTGTTTCATGGCGTGTATCTCTATCACCGAAAAGATCACTTAAGGGATTTGGGTTTTTTGGAAGTATGAAGTATTGTGGGAAGGTGATGCTGATAGTCTGTAAGTTTGGGAGAGAAGGATATTAGAAGTTTTGGAGAGAAAAATAGTATTTATTTTGGTGAGTTGTGCAGGTCCTGGCCTTCGTGAATAGCAGGTGCAACAGTTTCTTTAATCTGAAGAGCCATCCCCAAAAGTTAGGTTTGCAAATGCTGGTAGAAACTGTAGTCATAACTGTAAGCATTTTGAGTCCTGACTCAAAATGGCTAGTTCAACTTTCATATCTAGAATGTTTTCTCTTGCATGCTTAATAATGCATAAGCAAGCCACTGATTTACTGTGTTTCCAGTAAGTGGAAACAGTTGTTTCTTCATACCTTGTGAAATAGACCTCGTTTACTTGTAGACATCCTTATAAATGTAGCAATCGCTCTGGATGCAATATCATGATGGCTATGGGGCATTTTGCGGATGTTTCCAAAGCATAGCACTTCTGCTTGGAGGTGCATTGCTCTCTCTGGTACATGGTGAGGGAACTTGCTTGCTTTAGTGGGTTACCGTAGCTTGCTTCTGCGTAGGACGTGCGGAATAAACTGCCGGTTCAGTTATGTCCGTATGAACACGATCTGAAATACATCTCCAGGCCTGTGTTTTCTCTTATACAGTCACTGGGGTAATATCATTGAAAATATCAGCAACAACAAAAATAGGGCTGAGGCTTGTGGCTTTGTTGCTTGCTTTTAGCAGTAGAAAAGCATTAATGGTCACTGGATTAATGTTACGAGAGGGAGATGTGGACCTCTTAGCAAGAAGCAAGGTATTTTCCTAGACTTACTGACTTCGGGTGTCGTTTTCCAGAATTACTATGTGCAAACACTAAATAGACTGTAAATGACTTTTTTCAGTAACTTGAAAATTCAAAAAAAATGAAGTTCTGCTACCAGAGGTTCACCTGAACGTTTATTTGGGAAGCGGCTGATTCATGTCCCCACTGTTTAAATTGCTTTAATTGTATCAGGCGGACTGTAAAAGGTTCCAGTTTTCAAGGTTTCTTTTTTTCATATACCATTTATTTTGCTCACTCGTATTTTAGTCCATGTCATTTTACAGAATTACTGTATTTACATTTTAAAGAGGATTAGGCAGATTAAAAGATGTTTTCATGTTTTACTGATAACGTCAGATTAATTTCCACTTTCCTAGTGGTAGCTCACAGCTCTGTCAAAACACAGAGAAACACTGTTATACTTAACAATTTCATAAGGTAATTGCCAAAAATGCAGTTTTGGCAATTAATTAGCAGCTTGATTACCCATGGGAACTTGAATAGTTGGTGGTTAGTGGATATATGGAAGAGACAGTAAGACCAGAGGACCTGAGGCCGGCTCAAGTGAGCTAAGTTTTCTTCATGACTGAGTTCCTCAAAGAACTTGACTGGAAGAGATGTTACTGTGGAGGAGAACATCATGCAATAGTCGCTCTTGGTGTGCAGGATGAAGGCGAGTATTCTGCAGCTCTCATTTATATCTATGCCGCCTTGTTACCCCCAAAAGCTCCAGAACAGATCTGTATCGTGCTTTGCAGCCTAAAGCTCTCCTTGTCGCAACACTGAAACTTTCTCAGAAAATGGCTGGAGATTGTCACAGCCTCCAAACAATTGCCGAAAAAAACGAAAACCCAGACTCAAAATCTGCAAAATTTCTTCTTGAGCAACTTTAATGGGTCATTGTTCAATAGAAATGAGAACCGAACTCCGAGATGCTGTTGGAACTGAAACTAAATCGCTTTCGACAGCAAGCATTTTGTAATGGCCTCTCTGCTCTAGCCCTTAAGGCTTCGTCCTTACCATACAAAATGAGAGTAAGCACAGTGCTTTTTGCAGGAACAAGTTTGGATGTGCTCTTCCACTTGTGGGATGAGGGAGATCGTGAAGGCATCGCTTGATTCCTGGAGGTGCCGGCATTGACCTGACCTGTGCTATGGCCATGGAAAGTAGCCAGCCTGAGTGACCTTGCTGCCTCCCGGCAGCATCGCATGGGATGGCCTTTGCGCAGCAGCTTCTTATATCAGTCTGAAACCACTACAAATAAAACTTATTTGGGATTAAGAGGCAAAGGGGGATTCTAAGGCTGAATTAAGGTGGGGTTTGCAATTAAAGTGGGGTTTGCTCACTATGGGAGTAATCTTTTGCCCTTGCATACAGCTTGTCATCGGTGGGTCTCACAGTGTTTCACGGAGGGGCTTGGTACTGTCATCTCTCCTTGCTCTGCTCTTCACTCTAAAATAAAGTGAAGTCACTCTGGAGGCAAGTGGCAAAGCTGGGAACAGATTGCTAATAGCCTGAGCCCAATCCATTATGCCATCTTGTTTCCCTCATCTGCCCTTCCTGGACAGGCCGCTAAGGAAAGCCCTGTCAGAAGGAAGCATTTAACCTCTTTGACTGATTTTCTTTTTTAAGTGAAGTCTTGGTTCATTTGAAAATAACGTGGAATGTGATATTTAGGGATATTAAGAAGTCTTAGCTGCAGCACACATGCAATATGTGCTAGATCACTCTTTCATGGCCGGTCTCCGTGTAAGGAAATCACAGGAAAAGGAAACCTTAAAAAAAGTTGCCTTGGAGTTCCTTCTGATGTATCTACCCCAACATGAAATAAGTGAAAGGGAACATCCCCAGCTGCCATTCCCAGTAGAAACAGATGAAAGAGATTTTGCTGAGTCTTGTGCTGCTATATATCCTTCCTCTCTGTGTGCAAAGCCTACAAATAGGATGAATTCTACTGTTGTCTGCCTTAAGTAACTGCCTTTGGTAGTAAAGTACTGCAGAACAAGCTGTTTGCCACCCGTGTCTCTCTTTGGAGTCGTGTCCTAGGCCTGAGGAGAGGATGCTTTGCATATTGCTTGGTGTGGAGCAAAAATTCCCTTAAAAAAAGAAATTAACGTTGTGCAACAAAATTCATAATTCCGAGACAGCCGTGAACAGAAAACTAGAATGCTGGTTGCTACAGAAGTTACTTCAGTATCTCTTATCTCTGAATTATGTCTCCAACGCACTCCATGGAAACTTTAAACTTAACTACTTTCAGTTTAATGAGCTCCTTTGAAAAGAGAAAAAAAAAAGTCTTTTGTTGCCAATGCGGTGAATGTGTTTGTACCAGTTAGAAGTAATAATTGAATCAAGATATATGTAGATAAAAAAGCAATGTGAATGCATGTACGGGCATTACACACCTTAGAAAAGGCCAGATTCCCATCCTTAGCTTAGTTTCTTTCCTGGTGAGTAGATATATCGATTAATAGAGAAAGATACTAATCCACTTACGGGTGACAGCGTTGTGACTTTAATTATTAAAGAACTCTTGCTATAACTGATTTTTTCACTCAAGTAGAACTTGGGAAAATAGAGAAGTGTAAATGCTTCACTGACAGCAGATTAAAAATTGTTTTATTAGCTTTAATAAAGATCAGTATTGTTGAGGTTTTGAATAAGTATAAATGTAAGGCTGCATGAATGCAAATCTGTCTCAAATTTCGTTTCAGAAATGCCTGCAGTTTGAATCCTTGTATAGTGGTGGAGGGGTGGGAACAAAAATGTTGAAAAGGATCAGTTAGATCGACTATGATCTATCTGGGACGTGCATGCACTAGTGAGTTTCAGTCAAGGGTAGGAGCAGATTCTGGCAGGTGTTACTTGGTGAAACTTGTATTAAGTTGTCTGAACTGTAAACCTTGACCTGCACATGTTGAGCATATAAAGCATGTGTGTTTCATCTGTTAAATTCTATTGAACTATTATCTTCAAGGCCCATTTTAATTTTTTCCTAGCAGTTTAAGTAAAGATTTTATATTTGGGTGAAAAGCATTTGTAAAGAAGTATTCTTCTTCAAAATACATTGCAGTGGTTGTAAAAGATTCCCTTCATGGTAGTTTCAAAAAGTAACTTTTTATCTTTAGATTCTAGCTGTTTCCTTTTTACTGTTACTAAAATGGTAAAATATGGTGTGTTTAAGATATTTTGATCTTTCAAGGAATTATATTTACTTTCTTCTTCTTCTCGAACCCTGTTTCTATAGGAAGAATCTTAAATCGTTTCTCCAAGGATATTGGCCACCTGGATGACTTGCTTCCGTTGACGTTTTTGGACTTCGTGCAGGTAATTCAGTTGCTACTGTCAAAGATTTCTGCACTGCATTCTGAATTTAAATTCCTGTATGCTTTGGTGAAGATCAGCTATTTGTCACAGATGCAGCTGAGTTGAATGAAAGTGCTTGTTTGTGTAAGAAAGGTGCGGTTGAAATTTAATGTGTCAGTAAAAAGCTAACATGAGTAATAACTGGCAGGTAGGAGTGGCTATACACAGCTTGCTATTATGTCAAGATTTCAGTTCATAGTAGCTACATGCTTGGTAAATTGCTCCTGATTTGCCTCCAAGCAATCTGGCAAGCTTATTGCTGTTATAAGAAATATGTCCATAGTAAAGAAACAATCAACTCACATGAAAAGATAGCACAGATTAACCTAATTACGTGTCTACTTCCACAAAGAATCAAATGCTTACCACACCATTTTGGATTAAAATAGGTGTGGCTATTTACAAAGAAAAGATTAGTAGTAATAGGGTGAATATAATAGTCTTAATAGGAACAAGTGAAATAAGTTGTTGCAGACAAGAAAGATGGACAAAGCACTGAGATTTTTATGATGATGAAAGGAGAAAGGATTATATATGACATCAAGGTAATTTTTCTGTTGCAGTTGCTATTAATCCTCCTTGTAAAAAAATGCAGAAGGGTAAAGCTGCAAAAAAATGGATCATACTATATCAAAATTACATGAATCACAGAATACACAGAATCACAGAGGCTAGAGAAAGAAATGACTTGGTGGATCATCTGGATCCACATAGTGGATCCGACCTGTCATGCTCAAGTCAGAAACGTTTCTTAAGGTGCTATTGCTGACTTTGCTTCGTCTCTTAGAGATAGCTTATACAGTATCTAAACCTTATTTTGACTTCTTTAAAAATAAACCAAAGACGTTTCAGGCTGAGCAGTTTAATCATGTTGTTAATGCTGAACTCTTGAAAATAGGAAAAAAAAAAAAATTATTCCAAGGAGTTAGTAAAAACACTTCTTAAGATAAAGTCTTTTTCCTAGTTTAGTGACGTTGTTAAAGTTGAGGTGTGTGTTTGTTTTTCAAAACATTACGGTGCCACATGTCATTTTGGGGAAGAAAGGAAGACGATGTATTTTACCTATCAATTAAAGCAATTGGGGTTTTTTGTGAGTTAGGGAGTTACTTATAGTGAATATTAAGATTTTGAATTCGTGGGCTTTTAAGGCCCTGACAAATTCTTTCCTGAAAGTGCAATATAAATATCTTCCTATAATATACTACTCATTTTCTACTGTTCATACATATTCCAAATTTTCTTCAGTCTCATTAACTGTCTTATTAGACAGAATATCTTACTTTATTTCAGCTCTCTTGGGACAATACGTATGTGTCTTTTGTTTTGGCTGGAAGCTCAGACTGTCCTGCAATCCTTATCATCTCCTCTTAGCGTAGGATTTACATCCACAAAGTCAAACCCGTCTCTTTTGCACAGTGCTCCTTGGCCGTTAGACCAAGCAATGCAGCAGGGTTTGTATTTGCATAGGTTTGTCCCCTTTATGGCAGACTGCACTGTGTATGTTCATACTATATACTACTCATGGCTAGAGCATCCTCTGGGTCCTGTGGTCCTGATATAAAATGATTAACCCTTTTCTTTAGTTCCGTGCATTTACAATAATGTGGGAGCTGTGTTGCAGCCCACTTGCGTGGTGTTTTTATAGCAAGAAACTGAGTGGGTGTTTGCATGCCCTGGCATGTGGTTTAAAGGCATGTGGGGTTGTCTGAGGATGCAAAATTTGCTGGGAAAATGTTAGAGAAGTCTGCGTAAGCAGAGGGAGCCAAAATTGGTGTGGTCTTGTCTATACTTCCTTTTGGGAGCAGACCCTGAAGCAAACTGTCTTTTTTTCTGAGGGAACCAAGCGGTTTGCTCCAAAAGAAGGCTAAGAAAGGAGGTAACCTCTATGCACGGCACATACAGAGGACCAAATCATCTACTAGTGAATTGGAAAACCTAGTTATTTGACTAGTGTAGATACTGGCAGTATATGCTTACCAAAACTTAACTGGTCTGGGATGAAAGAATGAAGGCTGTTGCTCTAGATGTGATTTTTTTCTTCTTTCAAGCTCCTACTGTACACCGCATTTTGTAAATGTTTCCCCTCATTGATTACTTTCTGCATTTCTTTTAAATTGGCTATTGAATAATTTGTCAAATTCTGAAGCTTGTATTTTAAGTATTCTTAAAGTATGCCTTTTCAAAAAAATAAAGTAGATGTTACATGTCCAGTACACTGTTAAAATGATACTATGTTTCAAAGCTTGCCTGTTCTATTTGGTATCAGAAAAGAAAGTTTAGGAACTTACTGTTGATTAATAATGCGCTGCTATCCATAAGACAAAAGCACTTCCTTCTTGATAGGTTTTCTGAAACTTACTATTCTTGATCGGCAGGCTTGTTGGTTAGTGGATGCCTTTTGAAATTCAATAGCAAAGAGATGATATTTATTTCTGAAGAAGCACAGATCTTTACAAAGGATAACTGTTATCAATTATGATAGAGATCTTTTGTCACTTGTTTTGTTTGCAGGTGTCTTTTATAAGACTTTCTATAATCCCTTCAGGAAGAAATATTTTCTCCTTTCTAAACACAGTATTAGCTAAATATAAAAGCTCTCATCCCAGCCATTGTTGTTGATTCTTTGAGAGACATTTCCCAACATTCATTGTTTAAATGGTTGTCAGGAAGAATCAAGTGAAACTTAATAAACAATGCAGTAACTGGTTCATCTTACTTTGTGTGTAGGGGCTTTTCTTGAGCGGATTTGCATTGAAGAAGTGGTCCTTTTTCTGAGTTATTCCTAGGATCACTGTGAAGCATTCTACCCTTTTACTATATTGGCAAGTGAGTGTATAATTTCTGCACAAATAAACACAATGTGATTGGACACCCAAAAACTACAATATGAGCCCATTTAAATACCTATAAATAAATAATTAAAATCTACTAGTTTCGAGAATTTTGTAATTACACTGAGTACAGATTTTAAGGCAATGCTAAAAATTGATAATGTTCTTTTTAGAGTCCCTAATAAGATTTATACACTGCACTACAATCATAATGAGCATGATTAGTCTAGACAGCTATACTGGATGAAAATTAATTCCTTGAACTAAAAGAGTTGAATTTTTTACATCTTCTATTGAGTCAATGAAGAAGAAACAGTCAGTTCTCTTCAAGACAGTGGATAGTTACTATACACTTTTTTGTTAAAGCAAAAATAAAAGGTATGTGGCAAGCACAAAAATGCATTATAGACCTTGCGTATTCTTCTGAAAACCTGGCTAGATTTTGCAAAACTGTTGCTTTGCAGTAGCTCCCAAAGTAGCAAGTCTCACTACATTTAAAGTTTCCTGCCATCCTTTCTTTCTTTGGTTCCTGCCATTGTTTCTTTCTCACCTGTCTGGAGAGATTGAGGGCAGGAGGGGCAGTCTTCACTAGAAGGAGGCAGTCATTTTTTCTTCCTAACTTACGAAACTTAACAGCATATGAGACATGTCACGTTAGTGCAGTTGACTATCTTTTTGTAGAAATTACTGCTGTAACCACCAGATTTATAAATAAAAAAGAAGTCTCTTTTATGAGAACACGTTTATAGCTATGTTTGACTATATGGCTGTTGAACAGAACTCTGTGGGTAGATGTGAAGTATAGAAACTGAAAAGAAACCAAAGGTTAAGTTAGGAACTTCAGCTGAAGTATCTTTAATTGTATGTTTACAGTCCAGTTCAAAGCTCATTAAAGTGAAAACTAAACTTTACAGTCCTCAGTCTAAGCCTGGGCCTTATCTTCTGTAATGGATTCTGGCTGGCCATAAGGTTCCACCCCAGCTCTCCTGAAAAATAAAATAAAAAGCAATTCTGTGTTCACTATAACACTTGTTATTTCTACTAAATATGGCAGTAAATATGTTTGTAAAATCAGGTAGTAGTTAACGTTTGTAGGCTGATTCAGATAGTCAAAAAGCTGAATGAAATTGTTTAGTGAAGGTGGTGTATTTTTTTTTTTGTGAGCTTGCATATTTTTAATCACTTGCCTTAGTTAGCCTCCTTAGCCTCAGTTCTGCATCTCCCTTTCTTTTTCCTATCCTGAGTTACGTATTTCTTGGCAGGTGTTTTCCAACTAAGTTACAATCTCCTCAGGTAAGGGACTACTTGTGTAAAGGCCGTTACAGTGCTTTAAAACTTTCTAAGGGGATTTAAACATCGACTTCATATATATGCTTTATTTATGCATTTGCTAGTTTAATCAGAGGGCAGGCCTGACAGCAGCCTCAAAGAACTACCCAAACGCAAATAATTGCAGAAATGCTTTATTTAGTTGGTACGAACTCGATCATCCTATAAATAAGTCCAAAGGGACTTAAGGAAGTCAGGTGTCATTTAAGATGACTGGGATTTTGTTACTTAATTTTCTTGGCTCCTCTGAAAATACCAGCTGATTTACTCAGTGTTGTAACCAAGTGTTGTTCCTCCTCCTGCCTTAAGCTCTGTGGGAGTACAAGGCTCTGTTGATGTCGACTTCACTGGTAGGTGTGGGGCTTGTAGTTTAAAATGTTGTGGTTACAATGCATAGCAATGTCTAGCTCAATCTAATAAAACACACTATACTAATTTAGGAAAAGGTCAGCCAAGGAACAGAATAAAAGAATTTAATGAGGAAGTATCAGGAATTGAGAATCCAATATATTTAATAGTATTTTATGCACGTTAGCCCTATTCCTAAGTGGCCAGTATTTTGGATGCTATATTTTTGAGGGCTCATCAAAGGCTTGTTTTTAGTACCTGAATCTCACTTTGACTTGAGAGAGATCTGCAGAGGCTTAACATCTTTAAACTGTGGTCTTAGGTGATGCAGGATGCGTACCCAAACTGATAAACTACTGGTTGAAAATTGTATCTATAAACTGATTGAATACATAGGATGATGAAATATATTTCAGAGGTTTTTTTTGTTTTGTTAATTATCATGATAAATTTTGAAGGGTGGGTTTTTTTCCTGTAGTTTCTTGCCCTTTTAATTCCTCAGTGATCTCATTACCTGTTAACAGAGTTGATTTTCTGCTTTAGTTTCTAGTGAATTTGAGTAACTTAATGTGATGGCCCCTTCAGTTTGATTTCTTCCCCCATGTTGAATTGGGAAAAAAAATCATGATCTGTTTTGTTTCTGGAGAACACTGTGAACATGTGAACTATCTGCAGCTGCCCTTGGAAGAGGGCAGTGATTTATTGAGGAAAACTGAATTGCAAAACCTTTTTCCTCCCAAAATCAACAGCTTGACTGAGTTTAAATAACTGACTTTTCATATCCTTTCATCACACACAAAGACCTAATCCTGAGACTACTTGAGCCACCAATGTAGGCTGTGGCTGAGACCACCACTGAATGTGCCATTCCCTTCTCACCACACACAAAACACATTGACTGCAGCTTTATGAAGTGAAAATGCTGAAGAAAAGGAAAATGTGAAGGAGGTGTCCACAGTCATTTCTTAAAAAAAAAAAAAAAAAAAGAAAGAAGAAAAAAAAGCTGCTGCATCTGGATATTAGGAACAAAAAGTGCCTCAGACTGGAATAATAGCTTGGGTCACTTGCTTTCGTATGTGCACAAGAGTGGAACTGCCGTTCCTTGTTTCAGTACCACTGACCCCTGCATTTTATTGTGTGAAGATGTCAGGGAAAGTGTGTAGAAGGAATTCCAGGATCTTTTAGTTTAACAATGACGTTGTTATTTTGCGATTTCTGTGAGAGGTGGGGTTCTGGGAGGTTTGTTGTGTTGTTTTTTCCAGATTAGCCAGGTTTTGTATGTATGCATGTGTGAGTTTTAAGAGACATTTTTATTCATTAAAGAACAGTTCTTTTGTGTGTTTGCATGTGTACATTTAAAATACGATCATAAATATGTTGTGAGAAAACAACCAGTGGTGGGATCTACGTTAAGTGTCAGCATATTCTCTTTAGCCTGGTACGTAGAGCAGACCTGTATCTTGGAGACACCTTTTGGTTCCCTTCTGCTGAATCCTGGTAGTTTTGCTTGATGGTTAGATCACAAGATTCTGCAGCTGTGCTGAGGTTTAAATGAAAAATAAATAAATTTTAAAAAACAGTTGCCTGGTGGCACTTGACTACTGAAATCTCACTGAACTTTTTCTCTGTGGAACTGATGTTCTAACTGTACGTTCCCAAGATGCATACTACAGTGCATCTTGCTAGTGCATAATGAAAGACCCAATTAAAACTTAAAGAAAAATAATAGGGTTATATATTTTTTCATTGGTTACTTTTGAGCTCTAATTTCCGAAAAGGTTATAAAATGATCTTTATGATAAAAAGCTAATTTTTGGTACGATCATTTGATATTCGTACGTGCTTTCAGTTTTGCTATTTTCTTTGAAATAAAAAGGGGTTATATGCTGCATTGTTAAAAACAAACAAACAAAAAACTGTCCATCCTGCCTGCCTGGTCATCATCATCCCACACCACCACCACCACCCTCCCCCCCCCAAAAAAAAAAAAGGAAGAGGAAGCTTGGGTTGCACTTGTGTCTCCAAGAGCGACATGCAGGAGCTGTGAGTTTAGCACAGACACTTGTCTAAATAATGCAGTTCTTTATTGACCTTTCGTTCCTCTGTCCTTGAATGCCTTGATTGTTAAATCCCAGTAGCCAATTAGTCTTCTTGATGGTGACCAGCAGTAGAGATAATCTATGCCAAAGCTATTGCTGGTCTTTACTCTGTACCTGTCATCACCTTCCTTTGAATGTGAGGATGAGTGTCTTGCATCATACGGACTGCGTATTTACTCGGGTTGTTGGTATGTGTATGGGATAAAATGTGTAAAGTCTGGAGTCACTGCTAATAGGTGGATTCCTGTTTACCTGGACCTCCGTTTTCTAGAGAAGGCTAAAGGTCTGTTCTCACTATAGTGGTCATATGTAATCCAGCCCAATCCTTCCCCTCACCGCATTTATTTTTCCTATTTGCACTAGTGTGTAGAATTTTTATAAGAATCTGCAGGTGTGTCGTTCTCCACATACTTGTGTCAAGGCAACAGATACCACTGCAGTAACAAAACCAATTAGTGTGGGAACATGACATAACTGTTTTAATATTTTACGGTTTCTGTTTACTTACTATTAATAAAATTTGGAAATGTAACCAGTTATCTAACATGGGAAAGAAGGTAAAATAATACTGAAAAATGTGATTTCATTACCTTTTTGTCATCTTGCTTCCTGGGGTTTCCTTTACGCCTTTTTTGCTTTTCTTGTTTTTCTTAACTCTTTTTTCTTTTAGTTTTTATACTTCTCTATTTGTATAGTAACTATGTAGATACTACTTTTGGTATTGTGCTGTTCTTTCCATTTTCTCAAGGAAATGTGGAATACTGCTGTTTTGAGTATAGTACTCAGAAAAATAAAGCTAGCTTTCACTTAGTGGAATTCTATCTTCTGTATTTCTTTGTCTAGAGCATGCGAGCATCGCGAGATGCAGTCTTCCTCTTCATTTCTCTAAGATTTTGAACAGATTGTGGCTTAGCGGTAGGAAGACAAAAATGTCATCGTTCTTGCAGTATTTATTTTGGTATGTCCAACTAAAACCTGTAAATACAAAACTTTGATCGGGTTTAAATCAGCTCTTTTCCAAATTGGCTTCTCTGGTTTCTTTATCACAGTACTCTCAAAACATTTTCAGCTAGTAGAAAGCAGGATGGTTGTGTGGAAGTCCAGTGATGTGCTCCAGTTCTGTGTGGTCTGGAAATTTCCCCCCTTTTGGTTAAGGTGGAATTTGTAAAAGTTCCAGAGAGAGATTCCGTTCGTCTGGCACTCCTTATATCTGTTGGATTTCTTGTTTGCTTTTCTTACTGTGAAAGAGGGCAAAGAAATACTTTGATGTAAGTGAACTTATGTTCTGCAGTTTTCTCCTTTTCTTTTTGGTCCGTCTTTCTATATGTACTACTTCTGCTTTTGGTGCCAGAGTGGGAATTTTTAATATTATTTATAGGTATTTACCTGATTTTTTAAGCATTATGGCAAACTTTCACATCTGCAGCTCAAAGTGATGATTGTTTTTAAGACTTCTGAAGATCATTAACGTTTCTACACTTCACAGTAGCTAGAAATCTTTTAATTCTGCTGTCAGTCATAGAGTGTAACAATCCTGTTCCAAATGGTGATAAGTACAAATCTTCTAGATTGCCTTAAACTACTGATATACTATAGATAGGACAATGTGTGCTTACAAACAAATTAGGATTTCACTGTTTGGCAAAAGGACTGGAGATTTCGTTTTTGATTCAAGAGAGAAGGAGAAACTTAGAGGTAATTTGAATTACGAAGCCATATAGTTGTCGTGTGTGTGTGTGTTAAATCATTATGCATATTTATGCCCAAAACAAACATGTGGGACAAGGAATTATCAGCAAAAAAGACTGCATCTCATAAGAAATGTGCTGCCAGGGTTATGTGTGCATCTCATAAGAGCAGAACATAAGAACTTTTTTCTTGCTGAAGCTGATACCATGGCTGCCTGGTGAACTCTGCAGCTGATTTGAAAACTCCAGATGTGTTTGTTCTTCAAAAGGTAGAGGCTGCAGTGTGGGCAGTTTTTCACAGCAAAAGATGAGAGTTCGGCTGGGAACTGAATGTCACACGTCTTTGGGAAGCTTATACCTCTTTGTGTTACATCTACGTTACAGGATAGTTTTGTATCATTTAAAAAAAATTGATTCATTTGGATTGCACTCTTGAAATAGTAAAAATTTGTATGTTAAGAAAGGCTCTTTCAAGGTGCTGGTTGACAGCCGGCTGAACATGAGCCGGCAGTGTGCCCAGGTGGCCAAGAAGGTCAACGGCATCCTGGCCTGTATCAGAAATAGTGTGGCCAGCAGGAGTAGGGAGGTGATCGTGCCCCTGTACTCGGCCCTGGTGAGGCCGCACCTCGAATCCTGTGTTCAGTTTTGGGCCCCTCACTACAAGAAGGACATTGAGGTGCTGGAGCGTGTCCAGAGAAGGGCAACAAAGCTGGTGAAGGGTC